TGTATATCAACACCAAGAGTAATAGTTTTATACCTCCTCAGTTCTATGTTTTCTTGATGGTATCAAAATTGCCCATTGATTTGGGGCCTCTGCAGAGAAATTCTAGTCAGATGCGAGGTATGAGGATCACAGAAACGCACAGAAGTAACTGCACGAAAACATTTCCCGCCATATATCAACAGCAGGAGTAACAGTTTGGCACCTCCTCGCGTTTCTGTGTTCCTGGTAGCAAACTTGCTCATTAATTTGGTGCCTCTGCAGAAAATTCTAGTCAGGTCTGTCTTATTCATTTTCTGAAGATTCTGTATCAAGATCGCAGACACGACGAGGAGTATTTTCTCCAATTTTAATCGGCAACAAGGGTGACGGTTCCATACCTCCTCGCGTTTCTGTGTCCCTGATAGCAAAATGTCCATCGATTTGGTGCTTTTCCAGAGAAATTCTAGTCAGATGCGCATTACTCAACTTCTGAAAATTATGTATCAGGATCACAGAAACGGCGAGAAGTAACTGCACGAAAACATTTTCCGCCAATTATATATCAACAGCAGGAGTAACAGTTTGGCACCTCCTCGCGTTTCTGTGTTCCTGGTAGCAAACTTGCTCATTAATTTGGTGCCTCTGCAGAAAAATTCTAGTCAGGGCTTATTCATTTTCTGAAGATTCTGTATCAAGATCGCAGACACGACGAGGAGTATTTTCTCCAATTTTATATCGGCAACAAGGGTGACGGTTCCATACCTCCTCGCGTTTCTGTGTCCCTGATAGCAAAAATGTCCATCGATTTGGTGCTTTTCCAGAGAAATTCTAGTCAGATGCGCATTACTCAACTTCTGAAAATTATGTATCAGGATCACAGAAACGGCGAGAAGTAACTGCACGAAAACATTTCCCGCCAATTATATATCAACAGCAGGAGTAACAGTTTGGCACCTCCTCGCGTTTCTGTGTTCCTGGTAGCAAACTTGCTCATTAATTTAGTGCCTCTGCAGAAAAATTCTAGTCAGGTCTGTCTTCATTTTCTGAAGATTCTGTATCAAGATCGCAGACACGACAAGGAGTATTTTCTCCAATTTTATATCGGCAACAAGGGTGACGGTTCCATACCTCCTCGCGTTTCTGTGTCACTGATAGCAAAAATGTCCATCGATTTGGTGCTTTTCCAGAGAAATTCTAGTCAGATGCGCATTACTCAACTTCTGAAAATTAAGTATCAGGATCACAGAAACGGCGAGAAGTAACTGCACGAAAACATTTCCCGCCAATTATATCAACAGCAGGAGTAACAGTTTGGCACCTCCTCGCGTTTCTGTGTTCCTGGTAGCAAACTTGCTCATTAATTTGGTGCCTCGGGAGAAAAATTCTAGTCAGATCTGTCTTATTCATTGTCTGAAGATTCTGTATCAGGATCGCAGACACGACGAGGAGTATTTTCTCCAATTTTATATCGGCAACAAGAGTGACGGTTCCATACCTCCTCGCGTTTCTATGTCCCTGATAGCAAAAATGTCCATCGATTTGGTGCTTTTCCAGAGAAATTCTAGTCAGATGCGCATTATTCAACTTCTGAAAATTATGTATCAGGATCACAGAAACGGTGAGAAGTAACTGCACGACAGCATTTCCCGCCAATTATGTAGGCTAGGCAGCAGCGGTGTCCGCAGTAGTAGACTCTTCAGTCTCCTAATCAGTCGCCGTGCGCTGTGCGGGTTCAAGTCCCGTCCCAGGAGAAATTTTTCTCTTGGCTATGGATGTTGTGATTGTCCGTAGGTGGTAGATGGTCTCTGACTGTCGAACACGGAGGTACCACCCGGCGGTTATCGTAGGCGGAGCCAGAATGTGTGCATGTTGCTTGCACACGTGTTCCCTCGCCAGAGTCCGTGTTGCGTCCCCCCCTTTCCCATGTATCCCCCTATAGCCCCACGGTACCCAATGGGTGCTTAGGCCTTAGGCCTTCGTGGTAGTTGGAGTATATAAAAAAAAGAAAAATATCAACAGCAGGAGTAATAGTTTGGCACCTCTTCGCGTTTCTGTGTTCCTGGTAGCAAACTTGCGTTTCTATGTCCCTGATAGCAAAAATGTCCATCGATTTGCTCTTCCAGAGAAATTCTAGTCAGATGCGCATTATTCAACTTCTGAAAATTATGTATCAGGATCACAGAAACGGCGAGAAGTAACTGCATGACAGCATTTCCCGCCAATTGTATATCAACACCAAGAGTAATAGTTTTATACCTCCTCAGTTCTCTGTGTTCCTGATGTAACATAATTGCCCATTGATTTGGTGCCTCTGCAGAAAAATTCTAGTCATATGTGTCTTATTCATTTGCTGAAGATTCTGTATCAGGATCGCAAAAACGACGAGAAGTATTTTCTCCAAGTGGCGCTTCCATACCTCCTCGCGTTTCTATGTCCCTGATGGCAAAAATGTCCATCGATTTGGTGCTTTTCCAGAGAAATTCCAGTCAGATGCGCATTATTCAACTTTTGAAAATTGTATCAGGACCACAGAAACGGCGAGAAGTAACTGCACGACAGCATTTCCCGCCAATTGTATATCAACACCAAGAGTAATAGTTTTATACCTCCTCAGTTCTCTGTGTTCTTGATGGTATCAAAATTGCCCATTGATTTGGGGCCTCTGCAGAAAAATTCTAGTCTGATGTGTCTTATTCATTTGCTGAAGATTCTGTATCAGGGTCGCAAAAACGACGAGAAGTATTTTCTCCAAGTGGCGCTTCCATACCTCCTCGCGTTTCTGTGTCCCTGATGGCAAAAATATTCATCGATTTGGTGCTTTTGCAGAGAAATTCTAGTCAGATGCGCATTATTCTAACTTCTAAAAATTATGTATGAGGATCACAGAAACGCCCAGAAGTAACTGCACGAAAACATTTCCCGCCAATTATATACCAACAGCAGGAGTAACAGTTTGGCACCTCCTCGCGTTTCTGTGTTCCTGGTACCAAACTTGCTCATTAATTTGGTGCCTCTGCAGAAAAATTCTAGTCAGATCTGTCTTATTCATTTTCTGAAGATTCTGGATCAGGATCGCAGACACGACGAGGAGTATTTTCTCCAATTTTATATCGGCAACAAGAGTGGCGGTTCCATACCTCCTCGCGTTTCTATGTCCCTGATAGCAAAAATGTCCATCGATTTGGTGCTTTTCCAGAGAAATTCTAGTCAGATGCGCATTATTCAACTTCTGAAAATTAGGTATCAGGATCACAGAAATGGCGAGAACTAACTGCACGATAGCATTTCCCGCCAATTGTATATCAACACCAGAGTAATAGTTTTATACCTCCTCAGTTTTCTGTGTTCCTGATGGTACCTCTGCAGAAAACTTCTAGTCATATGTGTCTTATTCATTTGGTGAAGATTCTGTATGAGGATAACAGAAACGGCCTGAAGTAACTGCACGAAAACATTTCCCGCCAATTATATATCAACAGCAGGAGTAACAGTTTGGCACCTCCTCGCGTTTCTGTGTTCCTGGTAGCAAACTTGCTCATTAATTTGGTGCCTCGGGAGAAAATTCTAGTCAGATCTGTCTTATTCATTGTCTGAAGATTCTGTATCAGGATCGCAGACACGACGAGGAGTATTTTCTCCAATTTTAATCGGCAACAAGAGTGATGGTTCCATACCTCCTCGCGTTTCTATGTCCCTGATAGCAAAAATGTCCATCGATTTGGTGCTTTTCCAGAGAAATTCTAGTCAGATGCGCATTATTCAACTTCTGAAAATTAGGTATCAGGATCACAGAAACGGCGAGAAGTAACTGCACGATAGCATTTCCCGCCAATTGTATATCAACACCAGAGTAATAGTTTTATACCTCCTCAATTTTCTGTGTTTCTGATGGTACCTCTGCAGAAAACTTCTAGTCATATGTGTCTTATTCATTTGGTGAAGATTCTGTATGAGGATAACAGAAACGGGCCTGAAGTAACTGCACGAAAACATTTCCCGCCAATTATTTATCAACAGCAGGAGTAACAGTTTGGCACCTCCTCGCGTTTCTGTGTTCCTGGTAGCAAACTTGCTCATTAATTTGGTGCCTCGGGAGAAAAATTCTAGTCAGATCTGTCTTATTCATTGTCTGAAGATTCTGTATCAGGATCGCAGACACGACGAGGAGTATTTTCTCCAATTTTATATCGGCAACAAGAGTGATGGATCCATACCTCCTCGCGTTTCTATGTCCCTGATAGCAAAAATGTCCATCGATTTGGTGCTTTTCCAGAGAAATTCTAGTCAGATGCGCATTATTCAACTTCTGAAAATTATGTATCAGGATCACAGAAACGGCGAGAAATAACCGCACGACAGCATTTCCCGCCAATTGTATATCAACACCAAGAGTAGTAGTTTTATACCTCCTCAGTTCTATGTTTTCTTGATGGTTTCAAAATTGCCCATTGATTTGGGGCCTCTGCAGAGAAATTCTAGTCAGATGCGCATTATTCAACTTGAAAATTATGTATCAGGATCACAGAAACGGCGAGAAGTAAAAGCACGACAGCATTTCCCGCCAATTGTATATCAACACCAAGAGTAATAGTTTTATACCTCCTCAGTTCTCTGTGTTCCTGATGTATCAAAATTGCCCATTGATTTGGTGCCTCTGCAGAAATTCTAGTCATATGTGTCTTATTCATTTGCTGAGGATTCTGTATCAGGATCGCAAAAACGACGAGAGGTACTTTCTCCAAGTGGCGCTTCCATACCTCCTCGCGTTTCTGTGTCCCTGATGGCAAAAATGTTCATCGATTTGGTGCTTTTGCAGAGAAATTCTAGTCGGATGCGCATTATTTTAACTTAAACATTATGTATGACCAAAGAAATTCTGGTCACATGCCTTGTTCAGCTACTATAAATTAGGATCACAGAAATGACGAAGAGTAAGGCATAGAGTTTGCATTGCCTGCCAAATCAACAGGTATCCTGATATTTTTTTATATATCAAGTTTAGGTGTGCCAAATAAAACAACTATTAAAACAAAAGCATTTTATTTGAAGTACGAATCCACTTTGGCTTTTAACATCACTTATTCTGACACATTTTCCACTTAGTACCTATAATAATCCGGCTTGAAAGGTCCTTCAACCGGTACTCCAATGTACGACGCTTGCGTGGGAGTCAACTTGGTCAGTTTAACTCCCAAATGAGGCAAATGCAACCTCGCTACTTCCTCATCCAACGTCTTCGGCAACATGTAGACTCCAATGGGGTAATCCCCGGGCTTCGTCCACAGCTCGATCTGTGCCAGCACCTGATTGGTGAATGAGGTTGACATGACGAATGACGAATGGCCCGTGGCACAGCCGAGATTGACCAATCGGCCTTCAGCCAGCACAATCACGTGTCTTCCGGTTTCCAAGAGATACCTATCCACTTGGGGTTTGATGTTGATCTTCTCCTTGCAGTTCTTTTCAAGCCAATCCACGTCGATCTCGACGTCGAAGTGGCCTATATTGCATATTATTGCGTCTTCTGGCATCTGTAAAAATGTCAACTTTTAATATAACCGTTGAGAAAGCAGAAAAATTGGGTCGAACAGACTACTTGATACTTTTCATTTCCGTGTAAATTATACAAGCATTCATTTGAAAGCATTTACTTTTGATAAAACTGTTACAGATTCCGTGTTTGGAATACTCTGCTCTGGTTCATCCTATATTTGCCACCAAAAGAACATAAAACATCTGTCATTTTTCATGTCTTGTGTAATCGTCTGTCAATGGAAAGTTTTCTCTCATTTTGTTGACGTTTCCCGTGGTGTTACGGTAAATTTTCGAAGAGAGAAATTAAAATCATAACTGTCTGTAAAAAATGTTTCTATTTAAAGACAAAATGCAAAGGGCTCGGAATGTGAAGGAAAGGTATCTCGACCTTGGACACAATCAAATCAGGAAACGTAAGTCCCACAGGAAGCGATATACTTGACGTGAGGAAGAACTACATAGCTCCTAGATTTGTATTTAGAAAGAACTTCTAGACCATAATAAGGGATCCAACGAAATACTAAAGGCACTACTTGCAAGGGGAAATTACCTGGTACACAGACTGGTCAAAACCCAAACAGGGAACGCATGCAGGTATATATGGAAACAGATGTAACCCTTGACACAGCCTGCCAATTGGAAGACACGTTTATATTTCAGGTATGACATCTTGCGTTGCGCAAGAGTAAATAATGAGCAAGCAAGTGAATGCACTGGTGGAGCAAAAACCAACTCTAAGTAGTTACAGGCATTCTAATAGGACACCAGCGCAAAATGTTTGATGAAGACTGCAGACAATGCGGAAAAGGAACAGAATCCTTTGCGAAAAAAAATTAGAACCGAGGGAGTTTAGAACAGAACGGTAGGAAAACTGTACCAATGGTACAGATCTGCTAGATTGTATACTGCATATTCGAAGAGCAAGGTACAATAAGATTGAAATGCTGCAGTGGCATCGGGGACTTTCGTCGATCGGCTCTCGGAAAGGAGAAAAAAGGCACGAGTAAAAACTGTAAGCAGTTGACAACACTAGCACGAGCTCCTTCAATCCGTGCAATATTTCTGCAGTGAGTGTAAAACGTATGGACCAAAAGAACATGAATGTATACAATAGTTTTGCAAAAGATTATAATACTTGGTTAACCCAGTTAACGACTCTTCGTCATCAACACGGATAAGCAAGGGTTTTTGAAAATATTATCACAGAAAACCTCGAAATACTTCCAAAATCTCCAACTTTTATTATAAGCAGGAATTTTGGGTGCTCAATTCAACAACAAAAAATTCACTTCCTCACCTGCAACATGTGATGTCCCAAGATAATGTCTTTACATCCTGTTGTTGTCACATATATCTGGCCAATTTTGCAAGCATCATCTATCGTTGTTACTTCATAACCTTCCATTGCCGCTTGTAGAGCATTTATTGGGTCTATTTCAGTAACGATAACTCTCTCCACCAAATGCTCTTAGTGACTGTGCACAACCTTTGCCGACATCGCCATATCCTACAACATGATTTGGAATATTTAGTCAAAATATAAGGAGTGTTTCAATTTACCCTCAATAACAATTTCGTTGTAATTACATATACGTCAATACAATTTTTCATTGAATTCTTAATTTCCTGGCATTAGTTAACATATTCGCCAAGAAGATATCCACCTTTATGCTGTATTTGGTCGTTCACATACAGTTTCCGTCGTCACAGCCGTGTAGAAGTCAAAGAAATGTAGACTCCGTTTTCTTTTTAACAAAAATTGTTTATTCTTATACATGATATCAACCTTCCAAGAAAACTTCACCCGTCAACTTCCCTCGTAATTATTCCTAAGAGCTCGCATTCTCAGAATTTCTCAACGACGGACAAGGAAATCCATAACAAGCGAAAACAATCCGAGTGGTAACAATCCTGACACGTGAAGATAGGGGCGACAGGTATATACATAGTTGTAAGCATAAATGGGGGGCAGTGCAACAGGTTTCAAATAAATTGATGTATCTTATGGTGGAGTACGTTAATCAATCCAGGCCTAAAAATCTTACCTGCAACTACACACACTTTTCCAGCCAACATGATGTCTGTTGCTCTTTTAATTCCATCAATGAGAGATTCTCGGCACCCATACAGATTATCAAATTTACTTTTTGTTACAGAGTCGTTGACATTTATGGCTGGTACTTTCAGTTTACCTTCTTTGAACATTTTGTAGAGGTTTTTTACTCCTGTGGTTGTTTCTTCACTTATTCCTCTGCCAAAAAAATTAACTCATCTCACAAACAAATTCAATAGAAAGTTTGGGGAAAATGACAAGTCACTAATAATTTTGAGGATACATAATATCATGATCCATACTTTTAAACTGGTAATCTTTGTAGAAGGTAATCAATATTTTCAGAAATGTCGTAGATTCTTAGCATTTTCCAGAATCCCAATAATCTCAAAAAGGAAAGTCAACACAGAGAAGCGATTCTTCTATATAAACCTATTATGAGATAACTCTTAAGATGTTTTTTTTTAAATAAATTAAATTCTATAAGTATTTTAATGATTAATATGTACTACAATTAACGTTTTTAATAGAATGATTAAATTAAATTGCCTTCTGAAACCGGAATCCTTGAAAATGCCATAATAGTCAACATGTGAACAATGCGTTAAATACTCATTATATCTCTTGCTCTTGGATTCTTGGTTAAAATCTTGTAAAGGGTGTATATAGAACGCAATATTTGAATTACCCACCATTTGGGCAGTCATAATGATTGTGACATGAGAGATCGATGGTAGACAGGCGGGAGTTTTTGAAAATGTATCACTGCACAATAGAACAGCGCATCCTAATTGTTAAACATTATTACCAAAGTGGTGAACGTTTAACTGCCACGATTCGAAAAGTGCTGCTAATATTCGGTCGGAATAATGTTCCTACCCCATCCACTGTTAAAAGAATAGTCAAAAAATTTGAAAGTACTGGTTCAGTTAATGATGTGAAACATGCTAGACGAGCTCGTAGCGGTCATTCAGAAGAAAATGTCAGAGCAGTTCGCGAGAGTGTAGCCGAGAGTCCAGGGACGTCGATTCGTCATCGCGCCCAAGAATTGGACTTTAAAACTCTCTAGCGTATTCGAATGAAAGATTTATACCTGCATGCCTACAAAGTCCAACTGACGCAACAGCTTATGCCAACAGACCATGCGCACCGAAGAGAATTCAGCAATTGGATGCTTGGCCAACAGGAAGTGAGTGGTGATTTTGTAGACAAAAGCAATGAGGCCCATTTTCATCCCGATGGCTTCGTCAATAGGCAAAACTGCCGCATTTGGGGCACAGAGAATCCAAGAGTAATTCATGAGAAAGCTATGCATCCAAAATGTGGCACTTTTTGGTGTGCACTATGGTCTGAAGGAATTAATGGACCGTTTTTCTTTGAGGACGAGGCATGTAATTCACTAACAGTGAATGGCGAACGTTATCGTGCAATGATTACTCAGTTTTTGTACTACAATTAGAAGCCATGGCTCTTAATGGCATATGGTTTCAACAGGATATTGACACATGCCATACTGCTCGTGAAACATTGGCAGTTTTGCACGAGTTTGCTCCTGGTCTAGACATCTCCCGGTTTGGTGACCAGAGTTGGCCGTCACGCGCTTGCGATTTAACACCTTTGGACTTCTGGCTTTGGGATTATTTGAAGTCACAAGTTTATGCTAAAAAACCTGCAGCCACCGAAGCATTGAAAGCTGAAATCAGAGGCTGAATCAATGAGATAGCCCAACATGTGTTCAAACATGTTAGCAGAAATTTTATTAAAAAGGTGCGAATGTGCCAGCGGAGCCGTGGCAGTCATTTACCTGATGTGTTGTTTCATACATAATTTTAAAGTATATACACTATAATCCAATAAATATTTCAGTTGTTTGTTATGAAATACCATGTTTTATAGAACCTTGGAAGATTGTGTCCTAATTGAAACACCCTTTAGATCAGTAGGTCTGTCAAGTCTGGCTGTTTGGATACCAAAGTCAGGGGACAAGAAAAAAAAGGATAAAGAAGGGAAGAGGAAGATTTAAGAAAAGCATTGGAGGGGTGCCTTGCTATTGTTAAAAAGATCTAAGCGGTGAGCTTTTTTAATTGATTCTGACACTTACCTACAATCTTTTAAGTACTGAGGATATTTAGTATGTACTAGATTGGTCAGGTCCCCCCATCATCGAGGATCATGTTAAATGGTTTCCCATCTGAAAAAATGAGTGTCTGTTCTATGCACCAAAGGTACTCTTCATCTGTTTCTCCTTTCCATGCATAAATGGCAAGGCCTTTCTTTGCTAGAGCAGCTGCAGCATGGTCTTGGGTACTAAAGATGTTGCAGCTTGACCATTGGATCTCTGCCCCCAGTTCAATAAGTGTTTCAATTAGCACTGCTGTTTGGACAGTCATGTGAAGGCACCCGGCAATTTTGGCTCCTAAAAAAGCTTTAATTATCAACATATTCAACCTGGTTAAATATTGTAATCAATATGTTTCAATAGAGCAGGGTGGCCAGGTGATGAAGATTTATGGACCACAAGATATTAATCTTACTACTATATCCAAGCAAGAAAGATTTTTTTTATTTATTTTTTGTCTTCCCAAAAGCCTTGCGAAAAATAACAAAATCCTCAGTCTCAGTATTAAAGGTTAACTACTTAAAAAAACAACCATCAGTTTACTTCGATCAGCATACTGTTTACAGATCTACTACATGATAACCCTTTGCAAATATAACAAGATCATGGACTAAAATAATCATAACAATGACTGGTATTTCCAGGAATAGAGCATGGGAATACCAGTTCGAAGATTATAATTTCATACAATTTTTTCCAGTGCAAGTCTCATAATTGATTCGATGGCTAGCAATCACCAATGATGTGTTATGTATGATGTATAAAAGTGGAATGAAGTGGACACTGTTATTAGTTACAAATTAATTACCACATCTTTTCAGATCATACTGAAATAGAATCTTTGATATCATAAATTTTAAATGCTGTATTTGAATCACAATTATCAATTAAAAAATGATATATGTGAGCAAAAGCCATAATAAATAGTAAGAGTTGATTCAGTGTTTTGAAACCAATTTTTCCAATAAAAAAGCTGCTGATAACATTCATATCCATATAAACATTCATGAATATAGTTGCAATTTGTCTATTATGTTGATAAAAAATGTAGTCTTGCAAAAACCCTCAATTTGATCTGAAAGTTTTTTATGTTTACTTGGAAAAATATGATATGATGAAATTGGTACAATGATTATTATATTTTATCACTTGGAATAAACAAATTAATTTTTATAAATTTCTTGCGTCAATTACTGATGCAATGTTTTAACTGTAATACTTAATGGACAAAATATTATGCTTGTTTCCCTGAATTTACGAGTGTAATGCCTTTTTGTTTTAATTTCCATCTCATGTAGTTAATTGCATGTGTTGTGTTTAGAATGTTTTTATCCTAGATGTTATGCTATCTACTAGATACAGTAAAAAACAGATCATTTTTGCATGTGGCACATCTTTTAGAGGATGCCCATATTTTACAGGAAAGGGGCCGTTCAAGTATTACGTGAGCACTATGGGGGGCTTTGCTTATTTTGGATCACATGGCGGGTAGGGGAGTCTAGATGATGATTACGTCATCGGTAGTTATTTACTTTTTTACACGAATGGCAACCCTCACATTGTCTTTGCTTGAAACGAAACGCATTTTCGGGGATTCCCGCAAATAATGCATACGTTTAGTGAACAGCGCGCGGTAATTCCCCTACTCACTTTAGAACAGAGTAGGGGAATTACCGCGCGGTGTTCACTTGTCTAAATTTCCTCTATCAGTGTATTGTTTCGCATAGTAAAGCAAGTTAACATTTGTGTTACCATTGATTCCATTAGCCAAAGTTTAATGTTTAAATAAGATGTCGTTTCACATAGACAAATCCAAGTTATACCAAAAATTGTTTGAAAGTTTTAAAAATCTCATACAAGTACGAAAGTACAAAATGTACAAAAGTTAGTCAACGAAGTGTGGCGAAATTACAAATTACAAGCAAAATCCGACAAGGAACTAGATATTATTGTATCTAAGAGAATCGAAGAAGAATTGCTAGCGGCGACTAAGAATACATCCAATCTACTAAATTTTTTTTCTAAGGTGAATGACGAAATCATTTAGGTACCTATGAGTAATATAAATATTAGAAATCGCCAAAAAGTTGCTCTTTACTGATTAGAAAATATTATGGCCTATCTTAAAGTATAGAGGTAATATTCATTATATTATAGATTTATTTCTTATGATTGATTCCGTCAATTGGTCACAAAGTACAGGATGTTAGTTTTATACATATATACAGAAAACTAACACCCTGTATTTTGTGACCGGAACGAATTGCTTGTTTAAACATATTAGATTTAAAGCCATAGGGTTTTGTATTTACCATATATATTGCCATACTTTGTATTTATGTAGCTTAATAAGAGAATATTTAGCAGAAGCCATAGAAAGTTTTCATTTTTAGGCAACCTGTAAACCTGCAGAAAAAACACGAATTATACAGTCAGCTTCAAATATTAAAAAGAGGAAGAAGATAAAAAAAACGGTAATGAATCACAACAGCAATGCGAAATTAATGAAAATACAGATAAACAGAGAGCAAAACCTTCTCAGGAAGCTATGAAAAATAAGATTGATCTACTCGAAAAAAATCTGAATGCTTTGTCTTCTGTCAGAGATACTATGCCAAGCCGTGCTGAAGTGGATAAACAGATCATTAAGTTGCGCGAGTAAATAAAAACAGCAAAACAGAAGCCCAGCAGAAACAGGGATGGTATGAAAAGAGAAAAAAAAGTTAGAAGATATTTGTCATGAAAATCCAGAAATAAAAAAAAGACTATCTCTGAGGGATTCAGTGGGACGTCCTAATCTTGAAAGCAATCAACATTCACTACTGAAAACAATCGCAGATATAGCTTTATTTGGGAGTGCAGCAGATGATAGAAGACGAACGGAATCAATTCGCAGCATAAAAACTCTTGATGAACTCACACAAGAATTACGTAAAATAGGATTTGACATTAGTTGCAGTGGGACACATCTTCGTTTGATTCCCAGAAAATCTAATTCTGCAGAGGGTCGAAGACATGTATCGACAGTCCCTGTTAAGCTCATTCAGGCTCAAACTGATCACCACAAGAGCCACTTATATAGCAAGTTCGCTGAAACATCAATCCATTATTTAGAGAACATAGCATCCATACTTGGACCAGATCAAGTATTTTTCATATCTCAAGATGATAAAGCTCGAGTCCCTATTGGCATAACTCCGCCAAATAAGCAAGCACCTCTTCTAATGCACATGGAATATAGAATCAAATTGCCTGATCACGATTGGGTAATCGCTGAGCGTCATAAATTGATACCATCTATTTATGCTGGTATCAAAATCACTTCCAATGTGCTAGGACAACCGCAAGCCGTTGGATATTCTGGACCAACATACATCGCTATTCGAAGTGGGACGCATAGTTCATCTACTGCTAATACTCATGCTCAGGATTTCGAGACGCTTCTCGAACTTGAAGAGTTTCGACCATTAGCTAAAACTGACCATGGACTAGTCGGGAACTGGCTGGTTTAATATTGCCTCATGACCATTTTGGGTCTCATTTGGATGAACGTGGCGTTACAATTGATGAACATTTATAGAAAGATCTAATTTCGAATTTGCAGGAAATGTATTAGCTGAAGTATGGAGTTCAATGGAAATTGATGGCTATAATGTTAATGCAAAATATGTTATGGCAGGTGAACAAGATTTTCCTGATTTTCCAGACATTAAATGATATTCAGAACATGTGCGTGAGAGTCAACACTTGCTTCAAATTGTAAAATGTAGAAATACAGAATGCTGTTGTCCAAGAAGTGGCCTATTTAGATTACTAGACAATAGGTTTCTTCCACCACCTGTACAAGTAAAACAAACAGTTGATGACTTGGTTTTGGATGAAGGAGGGCAATTTCTTAATCTTCCAGTCAATTTAGCTCTACGCTTAAGTGCTTCCCTCAAAGATTTCCTCCAAATGCCCTACGATTATTTTTGTCCGACGGCAAAATTGAGGCTATCAAGTCGAACATGCAAAACGTGTGGTCTTTATCATGCTTCCGTCAAGTCACTAAATCGTCACATCGAAATATCCATAAAAAAGTAAACACGCACACTGATAGGAAAGTTAGACCTGTAAGAGTCGCTGCTCGTCGTGCTAATGAACTGATGTGCATTATTCAAATTTTAGAGCAGCATGATGTTGAATGGCTCGATGAGAACGACGTAGACATTACAAAATCCGATGAGAGCAAGCAACACTGAGTAGCAATCCAATGTCATCGAAAACTTAGAAAGATCGATGCTTCGAGATCGCTTTTTAAAAAGTTTATTTTTCGAAAATACAAAACTCAAAACTGTACTTTTACAAAATTATTACAATGTAAACAGTACAAAAGCTTAAATCTGACTGACTGTAAAATGTGTTGAGAACAATAAAGTAAACTCTAGGTCTTCTAGGAAATTAGTAGCATCGTCGGCAGTATTCCTATCATATCAGCAGGAACGGCTGATATAACTCCTCCCCCCTGAGATTCAACTTCAGGGAAGAATTCTTCAAGGAAGTTGAATAGGATGAAGTTCGACTTCTGGTTGTTGAATACTTCTATTTCTGAGCTTCCTCCTCTTCAAAATGGTTTTCCAGAATGCGTAGACACCCAAGAGTAATATACATCCATATATTATCAGTGTCCAGGCACTGGGTATAAAAAATTCTGTAGGTTTTTTGAAGTTGGGTTTGTTGTTGATAATGCTTGACTTGATTTTACTTAACTCGTCTAGCTTAATTTTTTCTAGATGCAGACTGAAATTTGTTTCTGTGATGTCGCCTTTAGTGTCCAGGTTTAAATCCGGGAATATTATAGGTTGGCCCGCGACAATCGTTTCGGGTTCATTTTTGATGATTTGGTGATTAATTTCGGCTTGACAGTTGACAGGAATATAAGTAGGTAAGTTCCCGTCAATCTTTTCATTTGCATTTCTTCGTGGCATTCCATTTTGATAACTTCTGGTAGTGGCAGGATCAATACCCATTGATTAGTCCGTTGGATTCGTTCGATACTTGGCTGATTGATTATCAGTGGAGTTCGGGCACATGCAGGGGCGTTTCTTCCATTGAATAGTTCAAGTTCACAGGGTAATGGACCATTAATGTCTCGCAAGATGGTCTTCTCGCAGAGAAACTTTTTAGGAGCAATTTCAGTACAAATGTCGCCGAAAAGTGCAAAGTGCAATTCATTTTTTACCAAATAAGGCTCCTTTGGAATGATAGTCCTAAATTGACCTTCAAAATATATCGGGATTGGAAAGAGACGATATAAGTTAAATGACTCATAGTATGAGATTGGGAATGATAAAACGAATGTAATTTTGTTGCCCACAGAATAACTGGAGATTTTGATTATCTTTTCAAAAGTTGGTATGTTATCTAGTAAAACTGGAATCGCAAATTTTTCCTGGCCTAATCTTGAGCTCAATAGTTTCAGTTCACCAAAAATTTCTTCGGTTGTACTAATGCTAGAGTGAATTGTTCCAAGACGTGCAAAAATTATTGAATTTTCAACGTCTTGTAATATTGACAGAGTTACTTCGTAGCTGTTCATAATTTGAGATACTGTGTCTACTATGAATTTATGCTGATCTGAATCGATTGTAGTACGATGAACAATTGCATATATGGTATTAATTTTATTATTCAGCAATTGTTCATTAAGACAGATTTGCTGAACAGTTTTATTGAACTTATCAATAAGAGATACTGACAGTGCATTATTCTGTGTGACACTGTCAGTCAATTCTCTTTGATTATTTTGAAGCTCTCGATTTAGATTTTCGAAACGTTCGCCATCATTGGCGTCAAGGTTTTCAGTTATTGATTTGAATATCGACCCAATGCCATTTAATATGCCTCTTTTTCCTCGCTTTGTATGGGGAAATATATTATGTAACTTTTGTTCTACCTGTCGCTGAACAAATTTTAATGTTCTGAAATAATTGGACAAATATGTAGTGACATTTAAATTTGAAGAAATGATTTCTGCTATACGTGAGGAGGAAATTGATAATTTTTCAATTTCAGAAATGATGGGATTCATATCATAATAATGAATGAGTGAAAAGTCATAGTCTTTTACTTTTGCTTCACCAATTTCCACGGGAAGTAGTCCTGGATTGTTGTCGAGGTTACGTATAGTTATGCTATCCTGAAGTCCAACCGTTACTTGCAGGAATCTGCAAATGAATAATACCTACATGTATGTATGTCGTACTTGGAGAGAAACATTTAGTTGCTAAATGAATATGGTTTGCGAAGGGGACGCTTCAAATTATCGATATGTACTTTATTGTGTTTATCAGTAGTAGCGGTCTTTTTACCAGGATCGACTGATGTTAGTGTACATGATTTTTGGAATTTATTTGCATTTTTCTGACGTATATTTTTCTTAACGAATGCTTTCTGACCTGGTTGAAATATTTTTGCACTATCTCGAGCTATGTTTGCCTTTTCAATTACTTTTTCTTTATTTTGAACAAGCGCCTCGTTGATTTTGGTATATAATAGCTTACTGCGTGCTTTGTGTTGTTCTACATAATCATTCAACAAAATTTGGTCTAAGCTGATGTCAAATGTATCTTTTTCACTGAGATGACCATTTATGACATCGATGGGTTTTAATTTAGTCACAGAATGAACAGAGTTGTTGTATGCTAAGATTGCGCATATCATTTTCATTTGGACAGATGTTTTTTGAAAGCCTTGAGTGTTTAAAATTCGGAGTTGCTCAGATATTGTCGAATGAAATCTTTCGACTACGCCATTTGACTGGGGATGGTTCGGGGAACAGAAATGTATTTCGATTCCATTAGGTTTACCTAATAACTCGGATATGACTGAGTTTTTAAACTCGGTGCCATTGTCAGTAATAACTTGTGTCGGGATTCCATGATGGGAAAAGTATCGGATAAGTGCCTTTTCAGACACACGCGGTTTCCGTTTATACGGCGACCGCATACACGGATGTAATCGCTTCACAACTACAACGGTTTTCGTCCGGTTACCCATTGTGACATCAATAGCAGTGTCGGGCTGGTGTTCATATGGCAGTATGGATAGAAAAAAAAACTATAGCTTTATTGTTTTTGTACAGACGTCGCTTGCGTCGTAGTAGAAAAACATGGGAAAGAATATATTGGATTCATCCATATGTTGCCAAAAGAAGGGAATTAGGTGATTTTTATACGAAGTTTATGGATCTCCGAGAACATGAGGATAAGTTCTTCATCTACTTTCGAATGTCAATTAAATCATTCGATGAATTACATGAACGATTAAAACCATCATTACAAAAAAAGAACACGGCCATGAGGGATTGTATTGAGCCTATACAAATGTTGTGCGTCACGCTTAGGTGAGTAAATAAAGTTAAATATATATTTTGTAAATTCTGTTTAATTACATGTACTAACAAACTGAAAAATATTAACTCATTTCAAATAACAGTTTTAATAATAACGGTATAATCGACAACTATGTGAAATCTAAATCCGCGTACACAGAATCCTGTGTAGAAGCACTATCAACTGAAGATGGATTTTCCGCTGTGGGGTTGTATTGTTCAAAATATTCACGTGCGTTTGCCTCATGTGGATAATTTGTTGTAGTATATGCGGGCATGTTTCTGTTAATACAGATTCCTGAAGGAGTCGCAGGTGGCTCTTTTGGCAATGACAAAGTAGAACGGTGAACATGTTCTGTACTATTTTGTCGATTAATATAGTTGTCATATACAGAAGTTCCGGCACATGGAAGTGGCTGGTTTGATTGAAACCGCCTCTGCTTGATATTGGTAATTAATCGTAAAACGCCAGTCTGAAATTGTAAGTTTCATCCGTCTGTGAAGGTATGTAACGATGGGACGATACCTTTAAAAAATGAAATATGACGATCTTCTGGCTGTTCTAAAGCTTTAATCATCCTGAGTTCAACGTCGTCTATTTTTCTTTTTCGAGAGCCAAGTTGCTTTCGAGGAGGTGATTTAAGCTGGGTATTATTATTTTCAGTATCAGTTTCTGAAACATCGGCGTCGGAAGTTGCTTGGACGGGATTGGCAGATAAACTATCTTCAGTTGATCTATGCGTAAATATTTTGGTTAGAAACTTCAGTTGTTCAGCATAAATGTATTTGCTTAAAGTTGAGGCACCAGAACCAGACTTTTGAACGATTTTTCTTTCTTCAAAAACTTGTTAAATGCATCCCGAATGTTGACCCACCTCTTTACAACCTCTTTACCTGTAAATACAAAAATAAATAATAGAAACTTTCTCTTTCTAGGTATTTGGCGAGCGGATGTACATTTACTGACTTGCACCTTCAGTATAGACTTGGCATTTCAACCATCAGCGGTATTGTTAAAGACGTTTGTTCTACTATATGGTGTTTAATGTTGGGAGAGTGCATACCTCCACCTACTAAAGATAAATGGGAATCGATTTCCCCAGAATTCGAAACACGAGCCAATTTTCCTCATTGTATAGGGGCAGTCGATGGAAAACATATTAGAATCAGTAATCCCTTAGGTTCCATGTATTATAACTACAAAGGTTATTCGTCTGTAGTTTTAATGGCTGTTGCTGACGCAAATTATCGCTTTGTGTATGTAGACATTGGGAGTTACGGAAAAGATTGCGACTCATCGATATTTAAAAGATCATCTCTTTGGACATCAATTATTAATAATGATCACGAAATACCTATTGAAAAAAACTGTTACTGGAATAGACAATTGCAAATTACCTTATTATTTCGTTGGAGACGAAGCATTTGCCCTCCACCAGCATTTACTTCGTCCATTTGGGGGATCTCAACTTACAATAAAAAAAAGAATTTTTAATTATCGTCTAAGTAGGGCTCGGAGGTAGGTGGAATGCACATTTGGACTTTTAAGTAACAAGTGGAGGATATTGCACAGAGCGATAAACCTGGAACCTGACTTTGCAGTAATCATAGTTAAGGCATGTGTCGTTTTGCATAATTTTGTGCGCGACAGAGATGGATACCAGGTTTGAGGATACAGATGTAATTGTAGGCCTTGATGAACTACCAAGAGAGCGGGAAACACGTGGAGGATTACCAGCAAATAACGTGCGAAATATTTTGAGTGATTATTTTATGTCAAATGTAGGAGCTTTACCTTGGCAAATGTAAAAATATAGAAAATATGTGAACTTACCATATTTATTTTTTTCTTCCTCACTATAAACATGGAAATCGCTGTTCATTTCTATACAGACTTCTTTCCACGCTTCCTTCGTCTCATTTCTGTTCTTATATATTGGTGATGTTTTATCCCATAATATAGGACGAGCTACTATCAAAGCAATTAATAACTCAGTATCTAGTTCTTTTGACATTATATTTTATATTAAATAAATACGTATACACGCCGCTGTTTAAACAGGAGCCTATACGACCGTGTGTATGTGAACGAACTCATGCATAACCAATATCTACTAGCTCTACGGCCGCCGTGAAGGAACCGCGACCGTGTCGACTTGCACGGCCGCACTACGGTAACGGCACGGTCACGGCGACATCTGAAAGCGCTCATTCAAATACATGTATTACTAGAACCGTCACGGAACCGTTTATACGGAAACGTGTGTGTCTGAAAAGGCACTAAGGTTGTCAGCTACTTCGGTACCTGTCATTGAATTGAGATGGTAAGCTTGAGCGTACTTTGAAAAACTATCGATAATGGTCAAAAATTTAGATTTTCAAATGTGTATGTGTCCATGTGAATTATTTCAAATGGCTTCACAGCAGTGGGAGTGATATTCATTTGCGCTTTAACAGGGTGTCTCTCGTATTTGGCTTGTTGACAGATTTCGCAGTCATTTATGTATGACTGAACGGAACTTTCAAATTTGGCCCAATAGTACTTTGTTTTAAGCGAGAATAGGTTTCATCGATCCCGCGATGATTTGATTTCCCTTCATGATAATTTTGTATTAAACTTTTAATTTCATCATTACTAGTGATGTCTAGAAGTTTTTCAAGACACCTTTTAAACTTGATAGATGGGCCATTTAAAATACTTTGTAAAGCGCCTGAGAAGGGTTCATATATGTCAGGATCTTCGAAATATATATAGTATGGGACATCGGGTACAATATATTCCTTGAAAAATTTACAACATCTGATTCAAGGTTGTTCTTTGAAAATTTGCACTAATAGCCGCTGTTTCTCTCGAATAAAAATTATGATTTCGGCTTGGCGGGAGAGTGCAGGGACCGTTTTAATTACGATCTGATTTTGGCCAAAGTTCAATGGTTGGTCTGATATCGGAATTGTAACAACCGGGTGTTGATTATTAGAGTGCCGGGTTTCATCATCCTTGTCAAGTTCGTCTTCATTAGTATTGGCTTTGTCAATACCAAGGGAAGTTCGTGGTAGTCAGTTTGTTCTGTTTCATTGATTATATCTTTGTCAGTATTTGTATTGTCAACGGTAGGAAGTTCCTGACAGTCAGGTTGATCTGTTCATTGTCCAAGTTGACAATCATTGAGATATCGTCTAGTTCAGGGTTTAAATTGGGGTAGCTAATATCTTGAATTATCAGTGGTGAATTTGGATTAGCTTGTGTCGTGGGAGGTGTGTTTAAATTTTGATCTACAAAGGTAATTCTTTGATTCTGATAGTTGGAGGCTTCTCCAAGGAAGTCATCGAGTTGTTCCCAAAAATCGTTAGTTTCCTTAGTATGAATTTCGATTCTAGAAAGAGCGTCAGCATTTGTATTGAGTTTGCCTTTTTTATAGATGATTTTGAAATTATATTCGTCAAGTTTCATTTTCCATCTCATTAATTTTGAGGAGACGCCTTCCTTTAATGAATAAAGGTACTGGAGGGGTTTATGATCTGTTATAATATTGAAGGTCTGCCCATAGAGGTAAGGTCTGAAATATTTGGTAGCCCACACTATAGCTAACAACTCTTTTTCGGTAGTGCTGTAATTTCTTTCCGAATCATTTAAGGTTCGTGACGCATAAGCTACAGGCAAATCACTACCGATTGGACCCTGACTAAGAACTGCCCCTAAAGCTACATTGCTGCGTCTGTTGTCAAATTGAACGGTCTTGTGAAGTCTGGGTACTGAAGTATTGGGTCGTTGGTAAGTAATGTCTTACAGTTTTCGAAACATGATACAAATTCGTCGTCGTGAACAATTTTTGCGCCTTTTTTGAGGCACTTAGTGAGAGGTTTCGTGAGTTGAGCGAAATTTGGAATAAATCGCCGATAATAGCCTAAGAGTCCTAAAAAGCTTTTTAATTGCCTATTAGTTTTTGGTATAGGGAAATTTTGTATTGCTGAGATTTTGTCGGGGTTAGGTTTCACGCCTTCAGGAGTTACTATATGTCCGAGGTATGCAACCTCTTTTCTTAGAAACTCGGATTTATCTAACTGAATTTTAAAGTTAGATTCGCGTAGTCGGGTAAAGACAGATCGTAGCCTTTCTAAGTGCTCTTGAAGAGACGTCGAAAATACGATAATGTCATCGAGGTAAACGAGACATTTTTCGTTTTGAATTCCTCGGAGGATGTTATCCATCACTCGTTGGAACGTGGCTGGTGAATTTTTAAGACCAAACGGCATTCTCAAAAATTCCAATGGCCATTTTCGGTGTTAAATGCTGTTTTTTCAATGTCTTTCTCATCCATTTCTATTTGGTGAAAACCACTAGCAAGATCCAACGTACTGAAATAGTGGCATCTTCCTAGTTTGTCCAGCAGTCGTTTATATTGGGAAGTGGATATTTGTCATCAATAGTCTTATCGTTAAGATTACGATAGTCTATTACGACGCGCCATTTCTGTTTGCCAGAGGCATCCATCTTCTTAGCCACAACCCAAATGGGCGAGCAATATGGCGAATTACTTTGCCTAATAATGTTCGATTTCAACATTTTTTGGATTTGGTCATTTACTTCTTGTCGGTGAACAAAGGGGTACCGGTAGGTCTTGGAATAAATTGGGATCTCATCAGTAGTTCGAATCTGATGTTTTATCTTGTTTGTGAAAGTTAGTGGTTCGCCTTCACGATAAAATATATCCGAAAATTCTTTGCAAAGTTTGAGGATTGCGGACTGTTCTTCTGAATTTAGGTGGTCTACTCTAATTTTGGAATAGTCTAGTTTATTTTCTGGAGAATCGTTGATATTATTAAGATCAAATTCTTGACATATCGTCGGATGTATAGACTGGTAAAATGGTTCAACAGAAAGGGGTTCAGAAAAGTCGAGTGTAACGGTATCTGTCGTATTGTTCAGTAAGGTCGTCAAAGCATAACCATCTTTCGCAATAGTCAAGCATTCCGGTATTTCACAATTATGGATTTTTTGGTGGGGTATAATAATTTCGCCATCGCTTATGGATGTTTTAACTTTTATGACAAGCTCAGTGCGAGGTTCGATGGTAACAAAATTCAAATTATTCTTAGGTTTTTGATAAAGCAACTTGATTTTTGCATACGGTGTCACAAGAAACCCTTCTTGAAATAAGAGTCTTGCCTGTAATTCTTCTAAGTTATCCATACCGATCAACCATTGAAAAAATCATGAAACTTGAACAAGTAAAATTTAATTCCTTTAGATGAGGCAAATTGAAAATTTTGGATGCTGGTATTAAAGTACTGAATTTATGGGCGGATTTCTGAAATACAGTCGAAAACAATGAATGGTTCATTTTTGATTTGTTGTGGAAAATATTTGAATGCGATGTCTGGATCTATAAATGACCTAGTAGACCCGCAGTCAATCAAAGTTTTATGTCATATTCGGGAAAAACTATATAGCTCAATCCTTTTGTGTGCTAGCATTGAACGATATAATTTCACTGTTTATGTCGGTTGAATAACCTGGCTGGCTGGGGGAAAATTTCCATTTCCTGACGTCGAGGTTGGGTTGGGCATGTCAAGTTCATTATTTTGATCGGTATTGTAATGATCGTATTGACAAATATTTTGGTTGGGGTCATCGTAATTATTTTCGACGTTATTAGCAAAATTGCCTGTATCATAAGTTTCATATGTTGCGTTATCATTTAACTCGGTGTTATACAGTTCCTCAAAGATAAAATTTTGCTGAGGTCGAGGTGTGTTCGCCGGAATTGGAGCGAATGGTGGACGTATTGTGTTTCTTGTGCTGACACTCATCGGTGTCGGCCTTGGAAGATTTCTTGGATTTGAAGAATTGGGCTTAAAAACGTTTGTATTCGGATTCTTTGTTTGTTGGTTGCCAAAGACTTCAGCGTTAGTCGGGAAACGCTGATTTAAGTTTGGCCTAGGTTGAATTTGGATGGGTTGAGATGGGAATTGCGCACGGAAAAAGCTATTAGGCGTACGAGAATTAAAATTTTGATAAGGCATATTAACTGGGCGTGCAGGTCTGAACTGCGAATTTTGAAAATTTGTAAAATTCTGTGAATCTGTCTTAACTCTATATGAAACGTTTTGGAAATAATGCACATTTTGTTCTTCAATCACTAATTGAAGAGCTTCGCTCAAGGAGGTTGGTTTCATGCACCTGACAGTGGTGCCCAATGGTTCTTTCAAGCCTGAAAGGAAAGTCTTTAACGCAAGTTTTTGATACAAATCGCGTTTTATTGCTTTACCACTTTCGGTAGCTTCGTGGATATTAACGTAGCTACACAGATTGTTTAAAATATGCAAACATCTTTCGTGAAATTTTTTAGGGCTCTCATTTTGATATTGCTTTAGTAAGCAAAGGTCTCTATGTAAGCACACTTCATCACGTTGGTCAGAAAAACTAGTAACTAATAAGGTTTCGAGTTCACTCCAGGTGTTCACTGAATGAATGTTTATTAAGATTTGGCATGTCCTCTCAGCTTTGAAAGAATGGAGTTCAATAAAAATGTATTTTGAAAATTGTTTGGATTGGAATGATCATAAAAATTGTCAATCAAGGATTTGCTTACACGCAAAATCGATTGAGATCGTTACTGTTGCCGTCAAATTCGGGCACACAACTTAAGTATTCGGGCCTAAAAGTAGCCATAGTTGTAGTAATACTTGTAGGTATTGAATGTACAGGGACTTGTGAAAGTATGGGCTTACGTAGTATATTAGAGTACCGTCGAGTATTTGGAGAGTCAGTATTAAGGTCCAAATTCTCAAGGGCTTGCGATATATCAATACTCATTGAAATTTGAAGCGATAAATGGAAAAAAATAATCTGCACTTACAACACTAAGAAAGCGATCTTTAGCATCTCTTACTCCTATAAAGATCCTAGCTGGTTCTGCAATGTTGTCTTCCCCAGGCTGGAATCCTTGCGAACTTGGGCAATGTGGTCCCAAATTCCGATGCCCTTCGTATGTAGCTGTTCACGCCGGTTCCTCGATGGATTGGGTATCCAAAAATATGAATCCACTCCAGTGCTCACTGCCACTACACGAATGCCACCAAGTCC